TATTCCACTGAATTTCCCTATACCATCCCCTCCCTTTCTTTCACTCCAGTTTTCCCAGCACCATTTGTTGAAGAGGCCATCATTCCTCCAGCATATATTTTGGCGCCTTTGTCTACTATGACATAACTATATGTAGGTGGGTTTGGTTCTGTGTCTTCTATTGGATTTCATTGGTCTTTGTGCCTGTTTTGGTGTCACTACCATGCTGTTTTGTCACTATACCTCTGCAGTATAATTTGAGGTCTGATATTGTGATGCCTCCTGCTTCACTTTTCTCACTAAGAACTTCTTTGTGTGTACTGACCTCTTATTTTTCCAAAAATAATTCATGACTGCTCTTTCTATTTCAGTGAAGAACATTATTGGAAATGTGATGGGAATTATATGGAATATGTATTGTCTTTTGGTAGCATGGCCATTTTGACAATAGTGATTCTGCCTATCCAAGAACATGAGAGGTCTTTCCATCTTCAAAACTCTGCAATTTCTTTCTTTCTTTCTTTCTTTTTTTTTTCTTTTTCTATTTTGTTGTGCTGGGGATGAGACCCAGGGCAAAAGGAGCATGGTCTTCTAGCAGACTCTACTTATGGGTTTTAACTATTCAGCAGTAACAGTTTGGGAGTGTGTGTGTGTGTGTGTGTGTGTGTACGTGTGAGGTTGAAGGGATGTTCTGTGCATAGATGAAAGTGTTTACATTGGCTGAATTCTTAAGCATCCTCTTCAATGAGGCAATCCCAGTGTCTTGGCCCAATCCTGCTCTGCAGAGCCCACGCCTGGGTCCTCCATCTCTGTCCCCATGATCGCTGTCTGGATACAGTCCTTTGAAGCCCATTTGAGTGAAGGTAGAAATCATCTGGCCACAGTAAGCCACAGTGAAGACAGAGCCCAGCATGAGCTTGCTCCTCCAGCTCACAGGAGCCTTCCTCTGTGCCCTTGGCTGCGGTGTCCCTCCAACACTGGGCTCATGGGCAAGTGGAGAGAGCTGGAACTTGGGGAGAGACAAGATTCCCAGGGAAAGACCCCTGGCCCATGCCCCCAGGGTTTCCATCTGGGTGTCCTTGTGGACCTGCCCTAAGCGGCCCAGCAGTCAGTGGCCGCCCAGAGGGGAAACAGGCAGAGGAGGAGGCTGTGCTGCTGAGAAGATGAGGGGAACTTTTGGATGCGCTGGAAACCTGTGGTGCCGACGGTAGCTGAGCTTTCACAAGCACACACAGGTGTTGAAACTCCTGCAGTTCTGCAGGGAGTCAGTTTGTTGTGCATACATTCTTGATCATGAACTGCTACGGGCAAGTTCTGTTGAGAGTGGCTTGACACACTCACAGAGACTGGGAACATGGTCAGACGCCATTTCACTGGACTATCCCAACAAATACAGTGGGGGCCAGACGCTGGAGAAGACTGTCACCGAAACTGCTCAGTGCTTCAGCCGTGTGGCCGGATGCTCAGGATTCTGCTGCTGGGTCCGAGGTTGTGGATGAGAGCTGAGGGCCAGGACATGGGAGGGAAGGCCCGTCCCAGCTGCGGCCCAGCAGCCCCTGAAGTCGGCACACCCTGATCCTCCTCCTGTCTCCACACGCTGTCTTCTAAACGCCAGTCTGAAAACCAGCAAAACACCCATCAAGACCTGACCCATTAGCAGCTCCCACCTCTCTCCAACAGCACACGGCAAGTCCAGTGTGTCCAGGACGCCACCTCTGTCCCTCGTCCCCTCTTGTCCACCAGAGCAGATGCCCCCTGGTGCTGTGCTTGGTTGCGTCCTCCACTAACATGCCCCCTTCAGAGCTCAGCAGCTGCTTCTGATGAGGCACGGAGCCCCGGGAGCTGTGGTGTGCCTCTGCAAGGACATCGAGGAGGGTGGTGTTTTCAGTCACTGTGGGGCAGGCGCCTTCCAGGTCATGGAACCTACTCACTCCACTGTCACCAAAGCTAAGAAGCCCTGAAGACCCCCCCCCCCGGCCCCACAGCAACAATGCACACTTCCTAATACATCTGCTCCACAGACGGGAGCAGCCCTGCTGATTTCTCCCCACCTATGGGTACTTCTCTCTTCTGTGGATACTATGCCTTATCTTTGTGGTCAGATCCTTTTCTTTTCATGGTCCCCTGTAATTTTCTTTTTGTTTTGACTTTATAATTTTTTAGTGTATTCTAATTAGTTATATATGATAGTAAAATGCATTCATGCACTTTGACATTTCATACATAAATGGGTTATAATTTATCATTCTTCTGATTGTATGTGTTATAGAATCACATTGGTCATGTAGTCATATATGTGCAAAAGGTAGTAATGTCTGTTTCATTCTACCACCTTCCTATTCCTCCCCTCCCTTCACTCCCCTCTACCTAAGCTAGAGAAACTTTATTCTTTCCTAGTGTCCCTGCCCTTATTATGAATTAGCATCTGCATATCAGAGAAAACATTAGGCCTTAGGTTTTTGGGGGGCTGGCTTATTTCACTTAGCATGATATTCTCCAGCTCCATCCATTTACTGGAAAATGCCATAATTTCATTCTTCATTTAAGATGAGTCATATTCCATAAATATATATACCACATCATCCTTGAAACTCTAGCCTGCTTAGAAGACAGAAATTAAAGGGATTCAAATAGATAAAGAGGAACTCAAACTATCACTATTAGCCAATGAAATGATTCTATATTTAGCAGATCCAAAAAAAGTACACCAGAAAACTTCTAGAACCAATAAATTAATTCAGCAAAGTAGCAGGATATAAAATCAACACCCATCAATCAAAAGCATTCTTATTCATCAGTGATGAATTTACTGAAAGAGAAATTAGGAAAACTACACCATTCACAATAGCCTAAAAAAAATTGGGAATCAATCTAACAAAAGAGGTGAAAGACCTCTACAATGAAAACTACAGAACACCAAAGAAAGAAATTGAAGAAAACCTTAGTAGACGGAAAGATCTCCCATGCTCCTGGATAGGCATAATTAATATTGTCAAAATGGCTACACATATTGAATGCAATTCCTATTAAAATCCCATGTCATTTTCTATGTTAGTTTCATCTCTCCAGGCCCCTCAGGTCCTATGTTGTATTTATTGAGGTTTTACTTTGTGCTGTGCTGTGTGGTCCAGATTTCAGGTAGCAATATAGTTTCCACCTGTGCATCTGTGTGATCTGTCATGCAGCAGTCACCTGCCTGGCTGCTTCAGGGACATCATTGCAGGCAGCCACGCAGACAGAGCTGTAACCCACTCTTCTGTCCTAGGAGGAAGCAAAGCAGCCGCAGATGGGAACAGCAGCGAGGCTGTGGTGTTTCTCCTCGTGGGGTTCGCAGACTCCTGGACGGTTCAGACCACACATGCGGTCCTGTTCTTACTGGTTTACCTGGCGGCTCTCACGGGGAACCTCCTGATCATCACGGTCACCACCGTGGACGTCCGCCTGCAGACCCCAATGTACTTCTTCTTAAGACACCTGTCTTTCTTGGATTTCTGCTTTATCTCCGTCACAGTCCCCAAGTCTGTTGTCAGTTCGTTCACCCAGGACACCTCCATCTCCTTCTGGGGGTGTGCCCTGCAGGCCTTCTTTTTCATGAACTTGGCATCCACTGAGCCGGCCCTCCTAACGGTGATGTCGTATGACCGCTGTGTGGCCATCTGCTGGCCCTTGCACTATGAGGCCATCATGAGCCAGCGTGCCTGTGTCAGGATGATGGCCCTGTGCTGGCTGAGTGGCGGCGTCTCTGGGCTCATGCACATGGCGGCCACTTTCTCCTTGCCGTTCTGTGGGTCCAGCCAAGTCCATCACTTCTTCTGTGACATTCCCCAGCTGCTCAGCCTCCTGGACTCCACAGTGATCCTCCCTGAGGTCCGAGTCATGGTCTTCGTTACCAGCCTTGTGATTTTGTGCTTCGGTCTCATTACGCTCTCCTACGGGTACATCTTTTCTACCGTCATGAGGATCCCGTCCAAGGAGGGCAGGTGGAAAACGTTTTCCACCTGTGTCCCTCACCTCGTGGTTGTGACCCTCTTCCTGGTGTCCGGCAGCATCGCCTACGTGAAGCCGGTTTCCAGCTCACCCTCCATCTCTGACCTTCTGCTGCCTGTGTTCTACACGGTGGTGCCCCCCACCCTGAACCCCATCATCTACAGTCTGAGGAACAAGGAATTGAAGGCAGCCCTGAGAAGGCTGAGAAGGCAGTGTGGCGTGGGGGCTCCACCAGGGCCTGCCCTGCGCGCCTGACCTGGTCTAGCCAGGAGACTCGAGCTTCCCCACCGGGAGTCCCAGGGGTCGCTGAGCTCTTTCTTTCTTGTTTTTTTTTTTTAATGAAATTCAGCTGTATTCTAGCAAGACTTTCCATATTTTATTTTGTTGAACCCTGGATGGCACTTAAAGGTACCTTGGACTCTGCCAAATATTAGTACTTATGGTCTTTATTCATTTTTATGTGTTATTTTCCTAATATTTCATAATTAATATTTTACTCATTAACATATCAATTATCACAAAATGAAAGTGTACTATAAATTAAGTAAATATATTAAATAAATATATTAATCACAGTAGAACAAGATCACAAGTATTAAAATGAACCAGATGGGAAACGAAGAAAAGCTGGTGTACTCAAAATGTTTTAGATGTGAAAAGGTGTGATCAGGCAAACCAAAGCCTCAGGGGCCGTCGTCATAGTGAATTGAGGGCACATCCATCAGGAGGAGCCCAAGTTATACGATTTGCTCAGGAAAAATGGCAGAAGGAAACATCCACACTGGCTTGTTTTAATGACGCAGTATTGGGCTCACGGACCCTAACCATCCCCTCCCAGGGGAGGCACCAGCTTAAAGGTGTGTGAATGTCTGCAAGTGTTCACGAGCCCGGGGCACCATTCCCTCTGTGAGTCCATGCTTAAGTGCCCCCGTGAAGGGCATCATGACCTTGCAATCCATGTTTAAACTTTATTTAAGTTTTATTTCTACTGGACAAATGAAAGTTGCATGCATTTTTGGAGCATAGTGTGAAGTTTTGACTAGTTTGCAACGTGGAATGGTAAATCAGGCTCATATTTCCATCACCTCAAATAGTTACTGTTTCTTTCTGGTGAGAATGTTTAAATTCTTTTTTTAGCTATTTTGCAACATAAAATGCAGCATTAGCTGTGGTCACAGTGCAGTGAGAGGTCACCAGAAGCTCTTCCTCCTGCTTACCACACATGGCACCTCTGACCAGTATCTCCTTCCCCAGTCCACCTCCCTGCCAGCCTGGTCCTCACCCTCACTCTCCTGCTCACTTGGTGGGCAGTATTCAGAGCCACGCATGAGTGGGGTCAGTCCTGCTCCTCATGCTGGGCCTGTTCCAGTTGGCAGCTGTCCTTCGTAGGAGCTGTGTGCACAGGGGAAACGGTGACTGCTAAACCTTGTCTCAAGAGAAAAGAAAACTCTAAAGCCTTTGACTGACCTCTCCACCCCCAGGAGTGGAAAAAGAAAAATACACCATGTGTAAACCAGCAGGAAAGACAGATGATAAAAGTGACGGCAGAAATTGATAAAAGATATTAAGAAATAAGCATGATGAGCAACACTGGAAGCTGTTCCTATAATAAATTTTAAAATTGACAAACTTCTTTAGGTCACCTAGAAAAAATGAAGGAAGACTTGTATTAATAAAGTCAGGAATGAAAGAGGAGAAACAGATACAGAACTCACAGCAGATAATTTTAAAAGTAGCTCTACAGAAAAGCTGTGAACTGCTGTGTGCTGAGTGGTATTCCCTCAACAGAGTGCTGGGGTTTCTGCCGCCTCAGAAGATGGCTTCATCTGGGAACAGGGTCACAGCAGGTTAAATAAGATGGGTTTGTTGGTGTGGTTAAGATGGAGACCCAGCCAGAGCCACAGGAGGGAAGGACACATTATCCTCCAGGTGGGAGAGGGAGAACCAAGTTGCCCCGATGGCAGATGCCGTGATGCTATGCACAGAAATCCTGAGACTCTACCCAAAGCCTATTAAAACACATCCAGGAAAGCCACAGCACACAAAACCACATGCAAAACCCAGCAACATCTCTAACAATAAAACCAGGGTAAGGGACCTCAGATAATTCCACTTACAATAACATGAAAGAAAAGAGACTACGTAAATTTCACAAAGTAGGGGGAAGATCTGTGCTCTAAAAATTGCAATCATTAATGAATAAATTAAATAGACACAAACAAATGGAGAGAGAGCTTGTGCTCAGGGACTGGAAGCACCAGTATCACTAATTGGCCCTGCTGCCTAAGTGACCTGAGGTTAGTGGAATCCCTGTGCATTGGAATTTCCATATAGAGACTCCAATGCAATTTTTCATAGCAATAGAAAAAAATCCTAAAATTCACCTAGAACCACAAAATACTGACTAGCCCTAAGCTGCAGGTGTCATATTCATGGCTTCAAAATATATTACAAAACTAGAGATATGCGAGCATTGTGGTACCATTATAGAAACAGCCATGCAGCCCAAGGGACCATAGTCGAGAGCCCCAACATAGATCCTCCTGTCAGGACTAGCTGGCCTCTGGCAGGACTCTCAGGAGCACACAGAGGACAAAGAAGCTCCTAAACTGAGGGAACATTGTGCTGCCAGGTCTCATGGGGGAGCAGGGAGACGCTGTTCAGAGGGTGCAGTTCTTCAGGCAGGAGGAAAGTTCTAGCCTCTGGTGCATGCAGCATGCCAACTGTAGCCACTAGGATGTGTTTTGTACTTGAAATGTATTGGGACGAGGGTCTGATGTCTTTTCCTCAGACCCACATGTGCAAGGTCACCATGATGTGATACGCATGTTGACTAGACTAACAGGTGTCATTCATTTCTCATGTTGCATATGTGCATCAAACTCCATCCTTCCCATCTTAAATGTGTATGATCTTTGTGTCAATAATAATACATCAATAAAGGTTGAAAAATACAAACATATCATGCAATTTTCAGTCTGTTGTCCCCTTTGAGAACCTTGGTGGCCACATATTGAGGCCACTTCACAAGGTGGTGGAAACATGGCTCAGGAGTCCAGCTGGGAGAGACTCCACCAACCACCTCTGAATGTGTCTTGTATTAGTCATGAGGCCTCTGAGTGGCAGGGATTGTGTCTGTAACACATCCTACAGGGCTCTGACGTCACCGTACTTGACGTATTTCCAATGCTTTGCTCTGCTTTCTACCCCTTCAAAGGACAGTTAAAACTGTGGAAACCAGGGCTCAGGAAGGCATTAATCTGCCTGCAGACTGCACAGCTAGTTCTGAATCTGACAGAGGCCAATGTGTGGTTTCTAAAGCCAGTCTGTGCTCTCTGCATTGGGTGATGCCAGTGTTGCAAGGATGTTTACCTGTGTCTCCATGTTTTCCAAGGCAACATACATTTCTAATCATGCTGTATAATTACATTTTCTGTATGTTTTAAAATTGTTTTCCTGTGGATATCCACACCACTTGTTGAATAGATTTTTGCCTGTAAATTCTTTGTTGTCTTGCCAACAGAGGCATATGTGTATGTGGTCCTCGGTCTGCCATGTGCCATTGGGTCTGTTTATCTGCTGATTTCACAAGACTGGGACACCACAGCTGCATGACAAGGCTTCCAGTTAGAATATGTCAGGTCACTCCATTTTCTTACTGTTTTGGATGTTCTGCAGGGATTTCCAAGTTCATTGATGATCAGCTTGTCACTTTCTTTAAGTGATTGTTGGAATATCTTGTTTGGAATTCCTGGAGAACTGGACTCTAAACATAGTGAGCTCACAGTGGTGACCAGCGTGACAGGTCTTTCCATCCATGTACGTCATCTTCAATTTTTCTCAGCTGTGTTTACAAGTGTTCACTGAAGCAATAATGTTTAATTTGCAAATGTTGTGGAGTTTTTCTGATTTCCGGATCCTGATTTCTGATTTAATATTTTTTTTAAAAAAATATTTATTTATTTATTTATTTATAATTCTCGGTGGACACAACATCTTTGTTTGTATATGGTGCTGAGGATTGAACCCGGGCCGCACGCATGCCAGGCAAGCGCGCTACCACTTGAGCCACATACCCAGCCCCTGATTTAATATTGTTACTGCCAGAGAGAATGTTCTACAAATGATCCATAATTTTAAATGGATTAAAACATGATTTATGGCCTACCACAGGGTCTGTTTTGGCAAATACTCTATTTTTATGAAAGATTGTGTTTTCATGACTATACCTGGCGTTCTCTTATTGGTTAAGTCCCGTCATCAGTGATATTTAAACTTCTGTGATGTGAGTGACCTCATGGATCTACCACGTAGGAGAAGAGGACAAAACCTTTCAACAAGGCAGCACCTTTTCTGTGTTTACCTTCAGTCTGGGGAGCTTTGACAACAGGCAAGGCACACTTGATGCTGTTTTATATTCCTCATGAACTATGTCTAGTGTCATTATAAACTTGTCCTGCAAGGCACAGCCCATCTCCGTAGGCCAGTTCTTTTCCTTCAGCTGGCCTCTTTGGCCCTCTACTCATTGAAAGTCCACCCCTCTTTACGTGCCTGGCCACACATTCCCTTTATCATCTCCTGTCTTACAATGTCTTGGCCGTTCTTTGACGCGGTGAGGAGCTGCATCCCACAAGGACCTCTGTAGGTGACAGAAAGGGAGTGTGTGTGTTATATGTGGCTCCCTGGAATTCATGATATACACGTGAGTGTGTGTTAATGTGACTGACACTCCCTCGGTGTCTGTGTGGTCTGGTTCCAGGGCCCCTGGGGATGTCATGCCCAGGATGCTCAGTCCTCTGCACAATGGGCCACAATCGAAGCACTTACAGGTGCTCTGCGTTAACCTTCCCTGGATACAGAGAGTTGTCTGCCCACTGACCATGCTGCTGACATCTGTCACTCAGAATTCTACCGCCAGCAAAAGCATCCCTCAAAAAATAAAAGAGGAGTTAAGCCTCTCCCATCTCTGGGTTGCTCAAGATTCCTAAGACACTGGACATGCCGTGTCCGAGTTCAGAGCTCAGGAGCTGCTTCTGAGGTGGCACTGAGCCCCGGGAGCCTGTGGTGTGCCCCTTGGTGGGGCATGGAGGAATTCAGTGCTCTCTGAAAGGGCTGACCGTGGTTGCCCTTTCTGTACAGAAGGTGTCTTCCAGGTCACAGAACCCACTCACTCCCACTGTCACAAAGCTGAGATGTGCTGCAGACCACCCCCCAAGAGCAGCAACTGTTAGGCTTCCACATCTGTCTATGGCACA